GTCCTATGGGCTGTCTGTCACCACCCACTGGGGTTCCCTGTGTGAGTCCAGCTGGAGATGTTGAGGTGTGACTTGGGCCCAGGCAGAGAGGGAGAAAGGAGGCAGGTGGCCCTCCTCACGCCTGTGTCTGTGTCCCTGGCCCCTCACCTGTCGCTCCTGCACCCAGGCCTTGGCAGAGGCGAAAGTGGCCAGCTGGGCAGCTGAGCCAACCATGACTCGGGGCACAGCCCCGCCCACACCCCGCCACAGACCTGCCAGGCCCTGCTGCCGCCAGATGGTCTCCATGGCACCCAGGACGCTCTGTGGGGAGAGGGCACAGGGTCACTGGGCAGCCCCTTGCCCGCCCAGGAGCCCACCCAGCCCAGGGAGCTCTGGGGAGTGACAGTCCCACCTGGTGGTGGTGCTGGTGCCCCACAGCCATCTCGGCCACCGTCTGGGCCTGCAGCTGCGTTTTGACCTGTGAGAGCAGAGGTGATGGAGGGCTTAGGGCCCAGCCTTGGGAGCCTGGCTGAGCTGTGTGGGTGGAGGGCACCCTTTCCCGGGTGCCCGGGGCAGAGTGCAGGCCCGGGCAGTGATGTTCCAGGGAGCTGTCCCACCGGGCACCTGGACCTCCAGGAGCCCACACCTGCAGCTTAGGGGGTGTGTGAGACAGGGTTGGGGCGAGTCTCCAGAGTTGGCCGGGTCTGCACACACCTCCTGTGTCTGCTTACCTTCGAAAAGCTGTTCTGAGGGCCGGGGGAGAGGACAGCGGTACCGCCTCCAGCCTAGTGCCCGCCTGGCTCCAGGAAGCGTCATTCTTTTTTATAGAGAGAGTACTTATTCATTTTTTATTTATTTTAACTGTTTTTTATTGATTTTTAGAGAGAGAGAAAGGGAGAGGGATAGAGAGATAGAAACATGGATCAGAGAGAAACATCACTGATCAGCTGCTCCCTTTCTGCCCCTGACTGGGGATGGAGCCCACAACCTGAGCCTGTGCCCTGTCCAGGAATAGAACAGGTGACCTCTTAGTTCCTGGTTGATGCTCAACCACTGAGCTACACCAGACAGGCAGGGGAGCTTTATTCTTTTGTATTTTTTAATATGTTTTTATTGACTTTTTTTAAGAGAGAAAGAGAGGGAGGGAGAGGGATAGAGAGATGAGAGAGAAACATTGAAAGGCTGCCTCCCGCATGTCCCCCACTGGAGATCGAGCCTGCAACCTGGGCATGTGCCCTGACTGGGAATTGAACCAAGGACCTCTTGGTTCATGGATGGATGCTCAACCACTAAGCCACACTGACTGGGCTGGAAGCTTTATTCTGACTTGTACAAGCCACACAAGTGCACACCTCCAGCACACCTGCTACCCTCTGCCCTGGCCCTGGCTCAGGACCTGCAGGATGGGGGCTCTAGGGGACAGAGGATGGGGCAAGGTCCTGGGGCAGTTTTCAGTCCTGGGAAGGGATGTTCCAGGGGGCAGCCCCACCTAGCCTGCCCCCACCCCCTTCACTGTCTACCCTCCCTCGTCCCCCTCCCGCCCCTCCCCCCACCCTGGCCACAGAGGCCAGCCCTGGAAGCTTCGGAGCCCTGGCGGGAGTTGGGTCACGGGATGGTGGAGGATGGAGACGAGGCACTCACCAGGTAAGCAGGGCTCCCCACGAAGGCTCCCAGTGCCCCAGCCACCGCACCTGCGACCACGGTGCCACCTGGCTGCTGGGTGAGGCCGGCCTGGCAGGCCAGGCTGTAGCAATAGAAGCGGACGCTGTTCATGAGGCCCTGGTAGAGCAGGCTGGCGGCCAGCCCCTTCTGCAGGCCACTCAGCCCATCTGCTCTGGCCACGGCGGCTATGGAGGCCACAAAGCCCCGGTAGTGCTGAGGGTAGGTG